TAAGACGGAGAATAGGATAGCAGATGAACAAGGAGGCTTTAGGAAAGGTAGGGGGTGTGTGGACCAGGTGTTTACAGTGAAACATATAAGTGAACAGTATTTAGATAAGGCTAAAGAGGTCTTTGTGGCATTTATGGATTTGGAAAAGGCGTATGACAGGGTGGATAGGGGGGCAATGTGGCAGATGTTGCAGGTGTATGGTGTAGGAGGTAGGTTACTGAAAGCAGTGAAGAGTTTTTACGAGGATAGTGAGGCTCAAGTTAGAGTATGTAGAAAAGAGGGAAATTATTTCCCAGTAAAAGTAGGCCTTAGACAAGGATGTGTGATGTCACCGTGGTTGTTTAATATATTTATAGATGGGGTTGTAAGAGAAGTAAATGCGAGGGTCTTGGCAAGAGGCGTGGAGTTAAAAGATAAAGAATCACACATAAAGTGGGAGTTGTCACAGTTGCTCTTTGCTGATGACACTGTGCTCTTGGGAGATTCTGAAGAGAAGTTGCAGAGATTGGTGGATGAATTTGGTAGGGTGTGCAAAAGAAGAAAATTGAAAGTGAATACAGGAAAGAGTAAGGTTATGAGGATAACAAAAAGATTAGGTGATGAAAGATTGGATATCAGATTGGAGGGAGAGAGTATGGAGGAGGTGAATGTATTCAGATATTTGGGAGTGGACGTGTCAGCGGATGGGTCTATGAAAGATGAGGTGAATCATAGAATTGATGAGGGGAAAAGGGTGAGTGGTGCACTTAAGAGTCTGTGGAGACAAAGAACTTTGTCCTTGGAGGCAAAGAGGGGAATGTATGAGAGTATAGTTTTACCAACGCTCTTATATGGGTGTGAAACATGGGTGATGAATGTTGCAGCGAGGAGAAGGCTGGAGGCAGTGGAGATGTCATGTCTGAGAGCAATGTGTGCTGTGAATATAATGCAGAGAATTCGTAGTTTGGAAGTTAGGAGGAGGTGCGGGATTACCAAAACTGCTGTCCAGAGGGCTGAGGAAGGGTTGTTGAGGTGGTTCGGACATGTAGAGAGAATGGAGCGAAACAGAATAACTTCAAGAGTGTATCAGTCTGTAGTGGAAGGAAGGCGGAGTAGGGGTCGGCCTAGGAAAGGTTGGAGGGAGGGGGTAAAGGAGGTTTTGTGTGCGAGGGGCTTGGACTTCCAGCAGGCATGCGTGAGCGTGTTTGATAGGAGTGAATGGAGACAAATGGTTTTTAATACTTGACGTGCTGTTGGAGTATGAGCAAAGTAACATTTATGAAGGGGTTCAGGGAAACCGGCAGGCCGGACTTGAGTCCTGGAGATGGGAAGTACAGTGCCTGCACTCTGAAGGAGGGGTGTTAATGTTGCAGTTTAAAAACTGCAACAGTGATGGAGTGAATGATGGTGAAAGTTTTTCTTTTTCGGGCCACCTTGCCTTGGTGGGAATCGGCCAGTGTGATAATAAAATAATAAAAATCTTCTCTCCGGAGTGCGCTTCCCAAGAGCATCGAGGTGACCCTAGTAATTTAAATGATTTATCAGCTTTATAGGAATGGTAAACATTGTATCCTCTCCAGCTCTGATACCTCTCCTGCCTTGAACGGAGCCGTCAACACCGAACAATATTTTAAGAAAGAGAAGTAATGTGAAGTGTTACCACTGGTATTATTTCTTTTGTTTTCAAAGTTCTTATTATCCACCCTGCTTGGCTGAACCAGCGGCCACTAGGAAAGTTTGGCCCAGGGTTGAGCTGTGAGTTTAGAAGAACCCTCGAAACCGGTCAAAGGCATGTGACAGCTTGTGTTTCACACTGGCCGAGCATGAGCGAGGCAGTACAAGGCAGTGCAGGGAGGAAACGGGCAGGGTGGCACACAGCATGGTGTAGGGACATGGAAGGCAGGGGAATTTTGATGGAAGACAGTACCTGATCACATAGTAACTTCCACAACACTATGACAGCAGTGTTATGCAGCACCAACATTATCTACACACAAATTATAGCCGCTGTCCATCTTCACTACACGAAATCCGAATTTCATGTCATTCCTCTACCAGTGAGTGGGGGAAGGGAGAGAGTGAGGTGGGAGGGGGAGGAGAGAGGGGGAGGAAAGAGAAAAGAGAGAGAGAGAGAGAGAGAGGAGAGAGGAGGAGAGAAAGAGAGAGAGAGAGAGAGAGAGAGAGGAGAGAGAGAGAGAGAGACAGACAGACAGACAGACAGAGACGAGGCTAGGATCTGAGTTGCTCCCTTAAACATAGGTGAGCATACACGCAAATAAATATTAATAACTTTTTGGGTTCTGAAAATAGCGTATATATTTCAGTAATACAGACAACACGAAAACCCATCTTTAAACAAATGTGAAAATCTGCTGAGATTTTGTTTTGCCCTGACAAAGCAGTACGGCATTACAGAGCTTAGCGAGAGGGGTCAAAATGTCAAGCAGTGTGCAATGAAAATAATCTCTTGAAAGGCAGACACGTAGGTCTTCCAGGACAGCGGTAGAGAGTTGGCACTAACTCCATCTAAGACGGTGTTTCTCGTTCAGTTCCGGAACGCCTAATCCCTCTGCACTTCTTCAACTTGGCTTCGTCACGCTACAAAGCTCCCTTAGAAAGGCAATTTACTAGACAAGGCGGTAGTCGGGGTCTGAATGTGGGTTTGCTTCATCTCAGAGTTATAAGCCTAATTTACTTTCAGCAACTCAACACTAACACCATTAATAGACTCATAAGGTGGATGGTGAAGAAATATATACTCATACCACCTGACTCACAGGAGAAACAGAAAGATGCACAAACTTGTACAATCGTCTGAGTGAGAAGGGCGTAATGTCCTCCCCCTACCCCATGCTCTGGGACTAGTGTCCGATGCTTGCCTGGTCAACCAAGCTACCGCAGCTGGCGCTCCGCTGGCCCACCTATCCATTATTGGAGCCTGACTGGTCAATCACAAGGCGAAGATACACGTTCAATTTGCTCTTGAAGACTTGTACACCTATTGCGGCAGTATTTCTGATATCGCTTAATATAATGTTTAACAGTCTGGGCCAAATGATGTCGATACTAGACCACAAACTAAAAAACTCAATCCGGATGCATTTACCAATGTCAATTCATTATAATCTATCTGTTGCATATGTTTCATAATCAACTTGTTGGTATTATACATTATTTCCCTAAGCAAATTTAAGTCTCTCAGAATTTCAGGTATGTATCTTAAATTCAGTAAGTTACCCTGGCTTATCACTATAGACCTTTAGTTGGAGCTGCCTTAAAAAGTTTGCTGTAAATGGGAGTTAGAGTTGCTTTAAAGTGTAAATGGGGAAAAAAAAACACAGATGGACGGGGAAGATTGTAATACTAAAAGCAGGTGAGGATAGCTTTCGTTGTTGCATTTTTAAATGTTTATAATTATTTGTGTATTCATCAAACTGTTATATTTATTCGATTTATATTTATTAAGCTATACAACTGTATCTATTCGTTGTTTTAATAGATACCTTTTGAAACATAATATTTACCTTATCATTACCAACTTGTTACTACGGTGACAAATTAACTGTCACGTTACAGAAATCGTATCACGAAGCAAGTCAAACTATCCAGAGAATTTTTCACATTCCATATCCGTAATTCGTTTTATATCATTTGCCTTGTCAGTAAACTTAGATAAAGAAAGAACTATCCCCATTATCAATGTCGAAAGAGGCTGGAGTCTTGAAGAATAAAGAGTAACAGTCTCCAGGTACGGGTTATTTGTATAATGTTGGATACTTGGCGAGAAATACACCCTACGAAAGCGAAGAAGCTTGGAACACTAAAAATACCTCCAGTAAAAAGCAGTAGTGCAATGAATATACTAAGCGATAACCCAGTAAGTGCAAAAGGATCTACATTTTTCAATACCCTCCCGTCATACATAAAGGAGGATTACCAACAGACCTCTAGGGGTCTTCAAAGACAGTTCCTGATCGGCCAGGGTGTGGTGCATATGTTGGACTGCATTCAGCTGGCACCAACCTGGTCGATCAGGCCAGGAACCTGAAATACTACAGATAGACTCCACCTACCCGGTCTCAGACCAGGCCCCTCCGGTGGACGACCTGATAAGCCCTGATGTTGGTGCCAGCCGCATAAAGTCCAACTTATGATGCCAGGATGATCAGGATCTAACTTGGGAAACTAGCCCAGCTCTCTTCAAAATAGCCAGGGGTCTGTTGGTAATCTCCCTTATGTAAAGTAAAAGGACACAAGTGCAACTAATGTGACATTTTATTGTGGTAACGTTTCGCTCTCCAGGAGCTTTGTCAAGCCGTTACAATCAGTTTGTAACGGCTCCTGGAGAGCGAAACGTTGCCACAACAAAATGTCACATTAGTTGCATTTGTGTCCTTTTACTTTACATATTGTCGGTAATTGTACCAACGTTATTACAATCTCCCTTACGTGTGAGGGGAAAGAGGGTATCTAGCACCGTCTTCCGAGGCTCTCATTTTCAAAGGAAGTGATTTGTGTATGAAGATTTGGGACTAATACTCCTAGAATTTTCCAGGTGTGGATTATACTGCATTTTTCTCGCCTACGTTCCGAAGAGTACAGACTGGGGGACTTTCAAACATTCCCAGCAATTCAGGTGTTTGACTGAATAACGTGCTAGCAGTGAAGGTTCTCTGTAAATTTTCCAGGTCTGCAATTTCGCCTGCCTTGAGCCCTGTTAGAGTGCTTACAGCAGTATTTGAACCTGAGAGAATAAGTTAAATCATTTTCTTTTCGAGTGTGAACGTCAGTATGATTTTACTAGTGTACCCTTACGTTGCTAAGCTGAATATAAGTATTTTGGTTTAAGAAACTGTTATGTTTAAAATTCCTTCCAAAGCTGTGGGTGAGTAGAAAAAAACTGCCAAGTTTCACAAGTTAAGCGAGCGCTTGGATTAATTTTAAACATAGGTTAGATAAATACATAAGTTTGAATGCTTGGGTCTAACTTGGCTAGGGCTGGCATGGGTCTATAGGCTTACCTGTGATTTTTGCTGCAGGTGCCTACGTCTCTTTCGAGTTCTGGCGTTTCCGGTGCTTCTACGGATCGTTCTAGCACAGCTTTGGGGCCATCATCAACTTGTACTCGAGGTACAAGCTCCTTCCTCAGCTCCGACTGTGCTTTCTGATGTTGGAGTCGCTGTAGTGACTCCTTTAAAAGAAAGCGGAGTTCGGGAGTGAGTTTGCGGACGTTCTCTCTCACTCTGGGTAGTTGAGGTACCTTAATAGAGGGTCCAGTAATTCTGTACCTAAGGGATCGACGTGTTGATATACGTCTAGGAATGACTGGTGTAAAAGCAGGTTCAGGTGATGCAGTAACACAGATTAACGGAATACTGACAGAAGCGAGGGAGCGGCTTGTAGGTTGAGTCTTAGAGGTGGAGTAACTATTTAACACGAAACTTGAGGGACTTAATTTGGAGTGGGAATGACGATCTGGGACGAGAGACTGGGAATGTACATTTATAGGGCAGTGACTATCTTGGGAAAAATGTTGGTTGTGGGAGAAATTTGAGGGTATTACAAGTGACTGGTGTTCATGGTTGGGGTAGTGAGGTTGGGGACAGGTCTGCCCACTATGATGGGGAGACCTGGTAGTCCCACGGGTGGTGGTGAAGGGGACGGTGGTAGTACTGGTGGTGGTGGTGGTGGTAGTAGTGGTGGTGGTGGTGGTGGAACCGACCCCAAGCCTCACTCCAACATCTTCATACTGAAAAGAGAAAGAAACAAGCATTTACTTCAAAGAAACGCGTACATGTCCTTTGAGGGACATGTTGACAATTCATGATCTTACATTTTTCCTAAACTTAAAATACGAAAAATTATTTACACAATTTATTACATTAACAGCATTGTGAAATCAAGTTTGGAGTGACCCGAGTGAAGAGCATATGAAATTCGTGTGTGTTCGGGAGTGTAAAATGCAATTGAAATTAACTTCAGGCTTAGGCTGGTCTTGATCTCAGGACTAAATAAATAAGCTGCACTGTTGCTTCTTAAGACCTAAGTAGCGCAGGTGTAACCGATCTGAACACTATTCTGTATTTGAGATTTGTTTCAAAGTTGCACAGGACAATAATTTTCTTCAATGTCGAAATTATTCCTACGCAAATTATTCTTTGCAAATATCGCTGCACTTTACTAAAAAAATATAAAATTAACTGAAAATGCTTCACAAAACAAGGACTCTCAGTCCATGCATGCATGCACACACACACACACGCACACCACACACACACACACACACACACACACACACACACACACACACACACATACACAACACACACACACACACACACACACACACACACACACACACACACACACACACCACACACACACACACACACACACACACACACACACATATCACATGAACCAATCAATGTTACTGCAAAAAATTACTCAACCAGATGTCATCCTTTATGAAGGAATCAGTGAAGTGTGATGCGCTTCTCAACTCAAACGTTCCTTCCTAAACATAATATAAAGTCTCTCATTAGTTTTCCATTGTTCCTATTTACTAAATTGATTAAACTTTTTTAATCATTACGAAGTACACAAATAGTCTGGTCTGAATGTAAGACACTCACTAGTGTTGTTCCTCAGGAGTCTAATCTCTGGTCATTTGTTCGTAATATACCTTTGAAGAGCTTCGAGTTTATCTACTCTCTGAGCCCGGCCATGGGCCAGGCTCGTCTGGTCAACCAGGCTGTTGCTGCTGGAGGCAGCCAGGTTGATCTGGTACCTGGTGAAGATACTTGTCCAGTTTCCTCTTGAAGGCTTCTACACTTGTTCCAGTCGTGTTTCTGATATCCTCACTGGGTTTGTTACACTTCCTCCCATATCTCACTCCAGTATGTTATGGCAGTGTGCAGGTTTGGGACCAGGCCCTCGAGTACTTTCCAGATGTATGCGTTAATGATCTTAACAGTGAAGTCGACATAAGAAAAAATCGCAGACAACACCAATACCGGGGTTATTAAAACTAACTTAAAGTAAGGCTGAGGAATTATAGGGCCAACTTTATGCTGCAAATCTAAAGCGAAGTTATAAACGAAGTTCAATTAGACAAAATTAATGTAAATTCTTAAGGCTGGGAAAAGACTGCGGCAATGAATGTCAGGTCATGACTGCAGATAGTGATAAGACTGCGAAAGATATACTATATCCACACTAGATCTAATAGGGTACATGATTTTGATCTCTAAAAATTTTTTTTGTTTTTTTGCTCAATCTTTGGCTAATCTAATAATGTTCAAGAGAGTGACTTCTCTCTACATATTTTACATTTCATATGATGTTCAGCATCGAGTTATCCGAAGTTTAACTTGGGGAAATTGTATAAGATAATCGGTAGACCAATAGTAAATTGTGGAACAGTCCTTCACATTCAAGAGATGATATAATCAGCCATCCTGCTGCAGTGAATGCATGCGACTGTTGACATCAGTTCCGGTAGGGGTTGTGGGACAGGAGGCAGGTGTGGAAATGCGGCGCTGGGCTGCTGACATGCTGTGGGGTTCCCACTATTTGCTCATTGTCAAGTCACAGGGCAACGCGACCACTACGTCCACTTCCCTACCCCACATCCTCAATCTCACAGGCTCAAAAAGAATGTAACTGGATTTTCGATCCAGAGATGCCCAGTACTATATTGTATTATATTCACAGGGAAGCGTAGGGAAATAATCAGGTTTGATCTGCGTAAGCCCACAGGATTATATTAATTATGAAAGTGACTTAGACCTTCCACCGAACCTGGGACAACATACAACTCAACATACTTCAAACATTCCTTCTAGTGACTCAATTCTGCTCATTACCATAAAGCTACAGTATTGCCGACCCTGCCTACTTCCCGCCACGATCACTAAATGTCTCGCCTATCTTCTTTCCTCTATCTTTAAGAGTGGACTTAGCAGGTTCATCCAGGCAGTTCTATATCAGACAGGCTTTGTTTCCTACGTCGGACTAGGAGCCACAAGTACTAACAACCTGACTGACGAAAGCGTTAACTAGGAATCCTGAGATAAGACCAAGCCGCGGGGGCTATGATCCCCGGAATCCCCACCTGGTCCACTCTTTCCATATTCACACTTTCTAACAGCACCTGTAAGCAACTCACTTTTCCTTATCCATCTCTTATTCATTCCCAGGCGCCTCACACACCCCGTTCCTTTCCCCGCCCATACATATAAGAAAGTAGCCCTCACTTTCACCTGCCCACCACACTCACTCACCTACAGAAATCCACAAATGTAACTATGCTCTTCCACTTAAAAGTGGTAGAGTTTAAATTAAAAATAATTAATAGCTTTTAACTACGTGACGTATGCAACACTTCCACTTAAATACAGTCATCATGATACTGTTTAAAAAAAAATGGTTGGCTGTTGAATGAGACTTGAACAGTTGAAATGTGACATAGTTACTCGAGCCACTGGCAGCGGTTGCTTTCTGTTAGCGCGCCAGACTAGTTTATCGTCTTTTATCTTATATTTATCGTTTATCCGTTGTAACCTAACCTAACTTAGAAATGGGATGCAAACCATATGTGAAAGTGTGACAAACTTATCAGGAGGGCAGGTTGTAATATGATAGATTCTTTCAGCAATTTCTAATCATTAGGGTTGTGGTGTCTACTTTGGACTGGAGCCCTCGAGCACCATCTGAACACGCCCCATCAAGAAGATGGTCATGTATGATATCCGCCATCTTATTGATGATCCCTTGAACACTAAGATAAAAGGTTACCGGTAAAAAGTAAGCAAGAAAAATCACAATCAACCCACAAGTCGGAAATGAAATTTTAAACGATCAGCTCTCAGTCTGGTGAATTAAGACATTTATGTACAGTCCAGGACATTAATTAAATGACTTTTTTGTTGACGAGGCTTTCAACCAGGCAGTCTGGAACCGGGCCGCAGGAGACTGACCCCCAAAACAATGTTCAGGAAACCTTGACTACAAATTTACATTAACAAAATAACGAAATTAGAGAAACCGTGAATTCGGCACTTTTTCTTCAAAATTACTGAAGAAACTGAGATTGTCGTCTATCCTCATTCAATCAGATACAGATTCAAAAAATTTAATAAGCATTATAATCGATCCTTAATTAAGAAGAGTAGAGTAACAAACAGTCCAGTAGTGAGACGCGAGTAACTGCCCCCACTCCCCAGCTGCCGAGAAAGGCCGAGAACAGAGCTGCAAGGCAGATGTATATTCTTCAGTCAAAAGGACCATTTTCATTGCCCCAGCACCGCTTACCAGCCAAGAATTAATAAGAACATCCACGTAGTCATACTAATACACTTTCGAAGATGTATTAAATGTGATATTCAAACAAACCATATATAAATTCACCCATTTATGACGTTTCATCCTTACCTGGGAGGTAATGAGTGGGAGGGTGCACCCACTCTTCTTGAGAACCATCTTCAGAAGCAGCACCTAGTGCCAGAGAGGAGCTGGAGGCGACTGTAGAACAGTGCCGCAATACTACCCACCATAGGTATGGATATACCTGATTACTGTGACTACCATAGTGTCCACGGGATGATATACACCGTTTCGGCATCCGCCAAATAAACATTATCTTGCATCACAAACCTTTAACAACTTTATCATTCTTCTTGGTCTCCAATAAGCTTAATTAATTAAAGTCCTTATTTTGTAATAGACCACACAAAAGTTTAGTTTACATATTGTTTATACTTCATACATGTTGCAAAATAGCTGCTGCAAGGATATACAAGCCAGTGTTCCTTAGAGCGTGTATAAATGCACAGGAGTAGCGCCGTGCCAGTGTACTGAGACACGTGGGGCAAGTGTATGACCAACTGACTGTGGCTACGGTGAACCTCAGAGCATCAGAGCCCAGGTAACACAACCCAGCCACTTCGTCACACAACACAATACACACATCCAACGATAAGCTACACTTTAATCCATGCATTGCTCTCTTATCAGCAAATAAGCCCACGAATGGCCTTCCGTGCGGGTTACTCTGTGGGTATGACTCGGCACATCAGCACCGCTAACGAGGATGGTGCCCACTTGATGGTAAACAAGTGATGAGAGAGTCATTCACCGAGTGTGCAGAAAGAGTGAAAGCAGCGACCGTCACCAGGCACTACAACACACTGGCTGCCTCAGCGATGTCAAGCTCACCTTTCCACACCACCACTCCCTTACCCCTTACAACCTACACACCTGCCCCCTCCCTTCTTCCTATTAGCACTACCAGTTCTTCAAACAGCAAGTTCGTTTTCCAACTTGGAGTGCGCACCATTTTATATATGATCAAAGCCGACAGGATGATTAAATATTATTCTAGGTCAGTGTACTTTATTCTGCCTGTAGTCTACCTGTGTTTTCACATGAACCGGTTTGGAGTGCCTCTCTCTTGCCACAATTTTAGATCCTAGTAGCCAAGGGAGAGATTTCAACATGGATAATATAACCTGTTTTATGGGAAATACCTGATTTACTGTGGACTACTCATATGTCCACGGTGATATATACACTCGTCGTTCGCCAATAAAAATCTGTCCAAAACCCAAAAAACTTAAAGTTTAGCTGAGCTCAATAATGCAATTTTAACCTAATGTTGTATAGACCCCAAAATTATACAATATACCATACTATTAAAAATATCTATAATATAAAACTTCTGGCGATACCCAAGGAGTCGCCCATTCAACCCATTAACCAACCGGCTCGGGCTTGAACCTCGGTCATAGAGCTCAAAACTCCAGCCCTTGTCACGTTACCACTAACGGGCTAGCATTTTTGAGCATCATGCCCTTTCAATCCCGTGCCTTGGGGAGGTTATTGCTCGTGTATAGACTTGGTACATCGAACCCTGAGTATGGCCCCTGATGGTAAAGTCTGAGAGATCACACTGTCGAAGAGTAAACCACAGGACCGCACCAGGCCTACAAGAATGGCGCAGCTCAGCGATGCAAGCTCCCTTTCCCCTACCATACGGATTAGCCTTCAAGCTAACACCTCTCCCTGTTTATTGCACTAGCTTCTCAACAGCATTTTTATTATTGTAACCGCCCCGATTTTGATAAATAACAAACCGCAGGATGTAGCCAAGGATTCGAACCCGTGTTACAATAATATATAAATGCTGCTCGTGAAGCTAGTACACCAAACAGGGATGAGAATGAAATTAGCTTAGAAGTTTCCATATCTCCGTATGCCCTCGGATAGCGGCATAACACTAGCATTGCTGGCTGCGCCATTCTTGTAGGGTTGGGTGATCCTGTGGTTTAAAGCGTCATGTAGTTTTCGCTTACCATGAGGCAGGCCAGTACAACATGGGTTCGAATCCTTGGCTAGCGCAGTGTTGTTATTGATCAATACCACTCGTTCGTGGTTTATAAATTATATAATATATATATATATATATATATATATATATTTATATAATATTTTATATATATATATATATATATATATATATATACAACATACGTTTTTTCTCTCGATAATGCACTATCTTAATCAGTTATACAACAAAAACTACGAATGGTTAAAACTGTTCCATCACTAACTAGCAGCCTGATCGATCACGCTTTCAACCAGGAGACCTGATCTGCAGGACCGGGCAGCGGGGGCTACGACCCCTGGTGTAGACTAGCTGTCTTCAAGAGGGATCCTGATAAGTTCAAGTCAGTTCCTGATCAGCCGGGCTATAGTTTATACGTTGGACTGCTGGGCGCCTCGATCCATCAAGAGGCCTGGTCTGGGGCCGGCCCGCGGGACCGTTGACCACTGAAAACATCCTTCAGGTACCCACCGGTGGACAGGTACCAAAATATATACAAAAGACCTGAGTGGTTCTTAAACTATATGGTAGAAGCTATACAATACACTATCATGATTAGGAAAAAGAGCAGGCAGCTCATAACTAAATATCAACCATAAAGTTTAGTACCAAGGTTAATTTACTTCAAGAGCCACACAAAAGTGTTTTAAAATAGGTCACAACCTCAGTATAATTACTAACAAATAAAAGTTTCATAATGATATGATTTTAAATCAATGGAACAATCCCAACTTTTAACATTTCTCCCTGAAGTTTTACATAAGAACGAAGGAACACTGCAGAAGGCCTACTGGCCCATGCGAGGCAGGTCAAAGTCTCCTACCGGCTTAAGCCAATGCACCCAACCTAGTCAGGTCAGGTCACATTGACTTAGGGGAGGAACACGGCAACCGACCTGGTAGCACAAGCTATCAGGTCCAACTCACACCCACCCACATCCACTCATGTATTTATCCAACCTATTTTTAAAGCTACACAACGTTCTGGCCTCTATAACTGTACTCGGGAGTTTGTTCCACTCATCCACAACTCTATTACCAAACCAGTACTTTCCTATATCCTTCCTGAATCTGAATTTTTCCAACTTAAAACCATTACTGCGAGTCCTGTCTAGGCTAGATATTTTCAGCACACTATTTACATCCCCTTTATTTATTCCTGTCTTCCATTTATACACCTCAATCATATCCCCCCTAATTCTACGTCTTTCTAGAGAGTGCAGATTCAGGGCCCTTAGTCTATCCTCATAGGGAAGGTTTCTGATACATGGGATCAACTTTGTCATCCTCTTTTGTACATTTTCCAGAGAATTTACGCCCCTCTTCTCTCTCTCTCCTTTATATATCTCTCTCTCTCCTTTATCTCTCTCTCTCTCTCAATAAGCTGTGTGTAAGCTTTAAGTTACCGTAAGCGAGTATTAATGTTCATAGTGTTATAAAAATTCCTATATTAATTTTCCACAAAATGAAGAGTGTCAGCGTTATAAACTGGTGTTGTGGTGGCGTGGTGCTCAATGGCGTGCATCCCAGCGTGGCACCCAGAGGGACCTCCACACGTCCTCTGGCCACCTGCCTGCCTTCCTCGTCCTCATCCACACTGACACATCCCACCCACAAGTGTGAAGATCGTAATGAATATCATTACTATTCAATAAATGTCACCTTCGTATTGCACTCAATATTTAACACTTCTCAAACACTAACACGAGATAATAAAACCATCAAAAATTACATCTAAATTGGTTTAATTCTTCCGCCCGAGTATCTACTTCATTTTGCACTCATAGCTCATCTTGTGAGCGCATCCTATCCTTATTGTACTACGTTAATTTTCTTACACGATTCCTAAAGTTAATTTCCGGACGCGGAATTAAGCTGCTGCAATATATACCCTCTGTCAGACGTTATTTGTCATTGACGGCTAACTAAAAGTATATATATATAGTACAGGCAGATTTAGGCTAAATTAACCCCACCAAAAATAACTATTTAATTTTGTAGAAATATCAGATCGTTCAAACTGGCGTCGCGTAACTGTGTCGTGATGAGGATCCAGCTTCAGCTACTTACAGGGAAACCACAAGTGTTGTGAGAAACCTACAGGTCTCGGGTGTCCCGGAAAGTGACCTAGGTAAACTGGTCATTGCTCTACATTATCAGAGATGTCAGGTGTTCTGTGGTGCCAGAATTGTTCCCTAAATTTTTCAAATCTGTTATACCAAAAATCTAGCTTATAAAAAGGATATTACGCTTCGGCAGAGAAAATAAAAACGATGTTCCCCTTCTTATTCCAAATTTCCTCTAAAATAATTTGTCATATTACATATACTTGTATTTAAAGCAAAACTATCAAAAACGTCTCATAAACCAAGGTAAAGAATGTGAGGTATTTACACAAACATACGTCTAAAGGATTTCCGGCTACTGCACACATCCGGCACCATCCTCATGAAACCTCATTACCCACAACACCACAACAACTCACCTTGAGTGATCCTCGAGAAAATCTTCTACAAAACACACACTCATCATTTATAAAGGCTGTAAATCTTCTGTGTGTTAACTAAGAGTGAAAGAATATTCAAGATGAAGAGAATACAAAGAAACTTCTCTGACCCCTGACCTCCAAACAGACCAACAGGAACGCCCGCACAATTTTACTAACCATTTTTGTTTATGTAACTTTACGAGAAAGACATGACAAAGAAAACGTCAACGACGTGTAAATAAATGAAAAAGACCAAGACTAACACTCTCCCTCCGAACATAGTGAATTACCAACAGACCCATAGTCGTCTTGAAGAGGGAGTTAGACAAATTACTGAAGGTAATTCCTGATCAGCCTGGCTGTGGTGCCATATATGGACTGCCTGCAGCCAGCACTAACTGCCTGATTGAAAAAGAAACTGTCAACCAATAGACCAGATCAAAGACAGGGTCTCGGCCGAGGCAGTAACATCCTCCCCGGAATCGACTACAAGCTACAAGTATTAACAGTAAAAAAAAAAAAATCTAGCCAAGATTATTTAATTTCATTAAAACATAAAAGTTTGTAAAGCATAACTTCTAAAAACAAACACGTAACAAACACCTGGTAGAACACTAAAGCAAGTTGCTCATGTAGTCTCCCCGAAAAGCACCCACATGAAGCTTAACCCATCTCAAAGTAAAATGTAAAGATAACAGCAAACGTTATATAGAGTAGTAGATAAAATTAAGATCAAACTATTTTCGAAGATTCTTAATTCTCAATAATCAAGGAGCACTGGAAAGCCAAACCCTCAAGAAAGTTCTGTGATGTCGGCGAGGGGCTCTTAGTCAAAGGAGCTGCACCTGCCCTTCTCTTTCTTGGACCAAACTTAAATGCCTTCCACTGCCTCAAGTGCTATTACCCCTATGGGTTTAGCGCTCAGCCATTCTATTATAACTAATATATTATAACCAATAATACACAAATACCCCACACATTGGGGAAAAAACTTAAGACAACGTTTCGGCCCGGACCAAAACGTCGTCAGCCTCTCTCCTATGTGAGGGGTTATTTGTGTATTGTTCCAGTCACGGTATTATATCTTCTGTTCAATAATAGCAATAAAATAATTTGGAAAGCCAATGGTGATTAGTCACAGCCCCATGCTACAAATTGAGAAGTGAACGAGGCTTCAGGTCGTGGTGTCAAGCGGCTAGATAGTAGGAGAAACTATGAGGCAGGTCCATATGATAAGATTAGAACACTTGATGAGATGAACACCCTTTGTGTTGTTTTTAGTTTGTTGTAAAGGGCGTGA